TTTGTTGAATTATTTACTGAAAAGCTCCAAAAGGTGGAATGTTGGCTCGAGCCATTCCTTCCAGAAACTCTGCTCTCTTAAGTACAAGAAGCTTGTGGTTGCTAATTCTTTTTTCGCTGTCAATAAGAAAGGATAAAAGCGGTGGGCCACATGCAGAGGTTCTATAAGTCCCTTTGACCTGATTACCCTTCCAATCTATCCCATAATAATTTATTTTCACTTTGCGTTTTCAAGTGATTTTGGCAAAATATTCATGTGTACGTATGTATGTCGATATAGTGGCGTATCCTCCATTAATGGGCTCAATCTCTGCCGCATTTATCATATTGTGTACATACAAATATATCTACATGTATGTACATATTCCACGCAGACAATATTAATGAGAAAATTGCGGTACTTACTTGTTGGTTAATGATGTTGATGCATTTTATGCGATTCTTTGGCTTCTTCACATGAAAGACAACGATTTTCGTACAGTTAACGTTGCGGCAGCAAGGCGAGGCAAGCAATCGAAATATGAAGCGAAAGGGCTGAATTGAGTGGACACAGGAAGGTTTACTTCAATAAACTACATGTATACACATGTACACACATACTTACATATAAATATATACGACACCCATACTAATGTGTGCATGCGCGTGTTTGTGTATATGCGAATATTAAAAGACCTCCACTAAAAGTAAATAATAAAGCAAATGTGGCATGCGGTTGAACGCCCACTTGCCACAGAGAGGCTGTATGTAAGTATGCCTGACACACACTCAATGCTAAGTTGAAGTCCCGCTTTATGCGCTGGAACAATGAAGATGTGGCGGCATGGCGATTGTTTGTCGGGGCATAAGGAAAGCACTTAGCGAACGGTGGTGGAACGGGTGGGGTAGAGACCGATACACCGATGTTAATCAAGTGAAATGTGAATGCGAATGCGAACAAGTGGATCTTTAAGAATTTACCGTTATTTTAAGAGAGGTTACACATGCCCAACATATGATAAAGGCGAAAGGGAAGAACGATCAGGTCAGCAACATAAGTATAATTCTCGGTAATTGTTTCGTGGTGTATTTTATCGTTGTTGTTGTCGTGTTTGCGAAAAGAAAGCGTAAAGAAAATTAAGAAAAAATATGAAAACATGCAATTGCTTTTGAACAAAAAAAAATTATATATGTATAAGCTTCCCTTGGTGCGCATTGACTTTTGGTTAATATCTGCTTGTCACTGATTCTTAAACGAGTAGCTACATACATATGAACATAACAACAGTTTAATTTTTTTTTTTAGAATTTTAATGTGCTTGCACTCAAGTCGGAGGCCTTATAAGGCGATATTACTCAAAGGTCCACGACTGAAATTAGTTATCAAAGGCTTAATTATGAATAGATAATTTTTTGGGCTTCAGCCGGGTTGCGAAAAACATTTTTTTTAACTTATGCAATATTTTGAGAGAAAGTTTTGATGGAAGGATTCAATTATTTTTGAGATGCGTCACTTGAACAAGATATAAACAGAGTTGCCAGAACGATTTCTCTGAAGGAACTTGCCAACCCGTGTCGACCCTTTGGCATGAAGCAAGCGTCTTGCTATAAAAATGTGTAAAAAATTTAAACTTACTCGCTTAGCGCTTGCTCTGAGACCCGCCACGTAGAAACCAGCCCCAATGAAAAGTTCAAGTCTCGGATGAGATACTCCCAGCGCCTGCACATGGTATGTCCGGTCACTAGTTGCAAAAGCACCGATACCCAGTTGGCTGATGTCCTCCGTAGAAATAAAGGCTGACATCATCGTCGTCCAAAAAAAATACGATGGACGGCACACGGACGGAAGTGAGTAGTATACCCTTTATGTGCCTCTGGAGCGTACTAAGGAGCGTTACCCCTGCCACGATGTGCTAATCGTGCTTCGTGAATTGACCGTCCGGGTGAGTAAAGCTCGTATTTTCTGCACAACTGTCGGAATATTCTATCTGTGGTACTAGATTCCAGCACAAGAATATTCAAGTTACTTGGCTGTGACCAGAACTTAAAATCAGAGGGATTATGTAATAATATACGGAAGACATGTCTCCAGTATTCTTGACCAGCGTACCTTCCGAGGGCCCAATATCGACTCGGAGCATTCTCTCGTAGCAGCAACGATACGTGCCACCCGCCACTGTGCGGCAAAGAACACTCGTCAACAAACACAAGGATCGACTCGATTTGCATTCCTGTTGTCTGAGAACTCTCATCAGCAACTCGTTATAAGGGAATTGTGGTATGGAATTTCAAGCCCACTACATACAGCTGCAAAAAACACTATTGCTTAGCGAAAAGGTCGAGAAAAACACAGGTAATACGATGAGAATTACCGTGCTGCAGTGGAGATAAAGCAGACTGCCTACTTCAAAACATTCATATCGACGACTACACGTGGGTTGGATCGATTCCGACAATGAAATCGGCAATAAGAGAGATTGTGGCGGATAACTAACCTAGATGGCTAATCAGTTGTCCCTGAAGCTAGTTTAGGTACTTGGACGGAGCACTGAAGCTAGTGTAGGTGTTTGGTCACGGCATGTGAACTGTTTTTAATTTAATGTTAATTTTAATTTAAATAAAATAAAATCAAATAAGCTAAACTGAACTAAACTGAACTAAAATAAAATAAAGTGAAATAAAGTAAGTTAAATTAAAAAAATAAAATAAAATAATATCAAAATTAAAATTTAAATAAAATTATATAAAAAACAATTAAAAATAAAATAAAATAAAAATTAATGAAATAAATATAAAACAACATAATATTACGTAAAAGGAAGTAAAAACATGAATAATTTAAAGTAGAACAAAATAATATTAATTAAAATTGACTCAATAAAAATATAGTTTTCTACCAAAAAGTATTGAAAATGTTAAAAAAAAAAACAAATTGAATTATTTATCAGAACAAGGCGTTTTTCTGAAACAACATAAATTGAAACAAATGAGATTTAATGCAATGGAATAAAGGAATGATGAGAGCGTGAGCCTATGAATGTATAAGAACATTCCGATTTCTTGATTTTATTAATAATAAATGTGCCTTTAATGCACAAATAAATCTAAAAAAAGTCTAATCCAGAAGATCTAGTTCAATCAGGGCGATAATTTGGTAAGCATTAAACCCATTAAGGGCAGAGTTCATATAAGCACAAGCATAGAATTCAAAAATTGACGCATCCTAATACTCACATATGTGTGCTGGTATGCGAAATTGCAAATCTCAATAAACATCTTTGAATGCACACACAATTCCATACACATAATACAGGGTTGTAGTGGTGTTGTTGCAGCAATTTTTATGACTTTGAAAATGCAAAGCTACAGATGCAACGAAATATCCAAGATGGTTTGCATATTTGCATACATTACATACAACCGTACATAAAATTCCAACACACATACTTACAATTAAACATTTAATAAGCGGTATGTGTAAATTTCACATGCACTCAAATGGTTTAAATAATATACACATGTGTATGTTTGTCACTCTATTTATGAATGTGTGAGTATTTCTTTGATTTGTACGTATTTGTGCTCATTTGCGCCTTTTGCAGCTCTCGACTGCACTTGCTCGCCTGGCAAATTAAGCAAATGTAAAGGAAACAGACATCGCAATGCATCGCTCCCATCAACGAGTGTGACCAAAGTAAGCCAATAACTAACAGCCAGCAGCTAACAGCCACAGCGAACAGCTAACAGGTAACAACTAACTAACTGAGTCAACATTGGCCGCCAAAGCACGAGCGCGCCAACAACAGAAGTACAACAGTAAAAGCGATCGTAACAACTATTAGCAACAACATCGGCAGCAGCAACATTCAGCTCACCGGTTACCTCAATGGACATTCTGTTGTTTGTTTGCTGCTATTTCCTCATCCCCAACAGCGGCTGCTTGCTTGATAGATCTTCACTTCCTATACTATCACATTTATTCCGCTTCCATACACGGTGAGTAAGCCTCTAAGTATGTATGTACATACTACATGTGTATGTAGTTTGGATGTGTGTTTGCAGTTAAATTGTAAGTTGCCGCTTTTCTTTGTTTCTCATTGCTTTTGACTTACTTTTTTGCGCTACGCTTCCAAGTCTTTCTTTTGTCGGCGTCTTCTCGTCCGATGCTACTGATTTTTTCTGGCACAGGTAGCGCGCGCAGTTTGCTGCAACGCCAGCTTTCTTGTGGGCTTGAACTGACCGTTGTGCGCGTGAGTAAATGGCGAATGGTGAGTGTAACGTTGACAACAGCTACGGCCGTGACTTTGGCTTTGACTCTGACTCTGACTCTGGCTCTGAATTTGACTTTGAGACTGTGAATTTGAATTCAAGAGCCGTCACACAGCTGGATATTCGCTGCTTGTTCGCCGCTCGTTTCACCATGCGGCTCATACAAGTGCTGCCGATGCCACTTTATTGTTCGCTCAGCGTTTTTGTTTTGTGTTCTGCTCTTTGCTCTTCTGCTATGTGCTGTTGGATTTTTCTTTGCTGCTGCTGCTGGTGCGACTGCCGCCACTGTCGACACTGCTTACTGTCCCACTGTTTCGCTGCTGTTTCGATGCGGAATCTTCTTCTTCAGACCACTAACTAACCATCCACCCGGCAAGTCAGCCAGCTAGCAGAAAATCTTCAGCTCCCACAAAGCCGTTCTTAAATCCGTTGATGGTTGGCTCTTCTTCAGTTTGTTGCTGACCATCATATCGATCGGACGTGTTTCACGCATTGGGACATTTTGCCCATATTACCAGTGAACAATACTATATAGTATGTGGTAACGTGCACGCACAGCAAAACATAAAACAAATAACAGAAATTTCGCAATAATTTCGGACGGAAGAGCCTATTAGTTGGGAAGAAATTGGCAGAAGAAAAGTTGAAAATTACTTTTTAGAAGCAAGATCGTGTTGTGTTTGTTGCGATATTAAATAAGATTATTCATATTTGAGAAATTTATGCTTACAAATAAACATTTCGAAAGGCATTAAAATTGTGCAATTTTTTTTGGTGCATAAAGTATTTTAAAACATAATTTTGAAAATTTCTGATAGTGATATTTGATCAAAAACAAATCCAGAAACGCTGAAGATATACAACATAGAACTACAACCAACACATAAAGCAGTTTTTCGTGCCGTAAGTTCCAAACAAGTCAGAGTTTTCATATGGTTTAAGTAAATTAAAAAATTTAAAAATATAACACAAAATATACTAAAATAAAATTAACTAAAATCAAATAGATTTAATTAAAATAAAATAAACAAATCAAAATAAAATAAAATGAAGTAAAAAAAAATTAAATAAATAAATAAATTAAAATAGAGTAAAACAAAATAAAATGAAATAAAAGCAAAGCAAATAAAATAAAATTTTTAACAAAAATAAATCGTTTCACAAACAAATAAAGTGAATAAAATTAAATTAAATAAATATACGATGCAAAAAATAAAATAGAATATAAAGAAAAAATAGAAAATTAAAATAAATTGAATAAAAAGAGCAAAATAAAATAAAACAGAAGAAAAAGATAAAATACCCAAATTGAAATAGAAAACGCAATATCTAATAAAATAATATTCAATAAATTAAATAGATATAAAATAAATCAAGTAAACTGTAAATTAAATTGAAATATTATACAATACAAAAGATAAAATAAAATAAATTAAAACCAAATAGAATGAAATAGTGCAAAATGACATAAAACAAAAAACATGGTAAAATAAATAAAATGAAATGAAATAAAGTAAAATAAAACAAATTAAAAAAAGCCACCCAAAATTCAATAAATTAAAATAAAATAACGTAAAATGCGCAAAGTAAAAAGATAAAAATTGAATCAAAATGAATAAAGTTGTATTAAATAACAAAAAAAATGAAGTAAAATATAAATATGACATTAAAATATAATAAAACAAATGAAAAATAAAAAAAAAATAATATAGACAAATGAAATACATTTTATATTATTTTGAATCTAATACAATTTTAATAAATTGAAACAACAAATGAACAAAATAATATAAAGTAAAATAAAATAAAATGAAATAAAACAAAACAACATATTTAATATTACATAAAATTAAATATCATTAAACAAAATAAATGTATAAAATAAACAAATAAGAAATAAATTATTATAGTATAAACTAATAAAATAAAATAATATACAAAAAGAAAAAAATAAATTACAATTACATTAAATTAAAATTCAAAAATGAATAAAATAAAATAAAATAAAATAAAATAAAATAAAATAAAATAAAATAAAATAAAATAAAATAAAATAAAATAAAGTAAAATAAAATATAAAACATAAATCAAAATCAAAGTAAACTCAAACTAAATAAAATGAAAAATATAGACTAAAATTAAAAATTTAATAAATGAAACCGAAAAATTAATTGAAATACAATTAAAATAAATAAAATTGAACAAAATAAATTGTGAGTTAAAATAAAATTCAAATAGTTATAAATGAAAAATTAAAAATAAAATTATATACCTAAAATAAAAATTTGTTTGTAAGTATTTATATTTATTTTGCTACAACTATTAAAGAAGTGGCGCATAAATTGATATCTAACAAAAGTAAGCAGGGTTATGAGATCAATTGCCGCCACACAATTGAGCTGAGGAAAAGGATGTTTGTATTAAAAAACTTCGGGTGATGTTCATTTGAATACAATTTTCCTTGTGACCTCGAACTTTTTTATAGAATACAATTTCATATTTGGTCACAATTGTTGGTGACATAACTTTGGTTAGCAGTAACTAGATTAAATAGTTACTAAATTAAATATATGTATGTAGGTAAAAAAATTTGTATCAGGGAAGCTAAAACATAAATATATTTATATTTGAATAATTTATTTTAAACGTGCGCTGCATTTATATATAATAAAATAAAAGGTACTTTTCGTTTCCACGATCGGGAAAATATATAATTATAAATATTTTTTTTTAAATGTATCTTTATGAATAATTTCTCTGATTACAAGAAAAAGTTAATTTTTAACAGTTGTTAAAAGATTAAAAAATATTGCCTTATTTTTCATCTAAAACTAAAAACTTTAAATAATGCCAAATTACTAAATTGAAATGGTTATTTTATTTAAAGCTTTTGAATTTTATATAAGAAGTACGTATGCAGTGTGCATTCAAAAGAACAATTGTTACAAATTAATATATAATATTATTATTTTTTTGAAAAATGCATTTTATTACTTTTGAATGGGTCTTATTTTTTAACAGTAAGTGTAAAAGTAAAAAAAAAAACACTTTCAAGAAATTTGTCACAATCCACCTGTTTTTTTTTGTTGTTATAATAAGTGTTAAGTATTTTTTCTAACGCTAGGTGGCGCTTGTGTCGAGTTATGCAGTTATTTCATTTTTTATTGCAGTTAATTTTAGCTAAATCAAATTAAACATATTTTCTAAAACAAATTTATATATACAATATGTATGTATGTATACATAAGCGAACGTAACTATTCACTACCTCATCGGGAATGGCTCATAACTGCATATTGTAGACTTTAATACGGTGTTCATACTTATAAACCTAAGTATATGCTATATGTGCATATGAATGTACTTGTCTTCAGAATCTTCAGAATGTCACGCGAGTAGAAGATACTCAGTTGGGATTTCTGCTAAAACGAAATGTTCCTTGCCGGCAGTCAGTGCAAGCATGCAAAATTGTATTTAGTAAAAAAGCTACAACAAAAGCTATGCATGTGCACATGTATGTATGTGTGCATGTATGTATGTATATATGTACAACCGAGTAGCAGCAAAATCCACAGCTACTTTTGGAAAGTGGTTAGACCAGCTATACACGCTACACGCTTTTTTCTTTACTCTGTTTTGTGAGTGTGTGTGTGTGTGTGTTTGTTTGTTTGTTTGTCCGTAGTATTGCGGTTCTTTGCCAAGGGTCACATGCCACAACCACAATACTAAGCGTTAATATGTGCGCCGCTAGAGTTTTGCGAATGCGCGGTTGGGTCAAATTTAGCTTGTTGGCTGACTGGCGGTTGGTTGTCCGTTTAGTTGTTTAGTGACAATTTTTCTTCAGATATTTGGAATTTCTTTTCATACTGAAATAAATAAAAAAAAACTAATAGTTTTGATTTTTTTACAATACATGAATATTTTGTTGGTATAAATATATAAATTAATTAAAAATTTCAAAATATTAAAATAAAGTTTTTTCTTAAAAGACGTAAATAAATAGACGCGTATGTACATATGTATGTGTATTGCATGCAGCAAACATAAAAATCAGAATAAGTCTAGTTCATAATAGCACAAAAATTTTGGTTTTTAGAGGTAATTAAAATTTGTTGTTGTGAAATGACTTGCACTTGCTTTTTTTATGAAAATTTATGACATTTCACATGGCTCGCATGCAGCTCGATACTCGATACTCGTTCACTGCTCAAATGTTTGTTTGATATACTCGAGCTTTTGAAAAGAACAGAGCAAAAACTTTCAGTTTTGTTAGTTGAAATTTCTTTTTGCGGGGTGCAGAATATATTTATTTAAAATTTGTTTGTATTTGTTTTTTTTTTCAATCATCAAAATTTGCATTTTTTTGGAAAAAAAGGAATGGCAAAAATACAAATTTTCCTTTTTTATTTTTCTTCGTGCAAATTCCAGTTTATTGTATTAACTTTAATACAAATTTTTTTTACTTTTCACTTTAGATAACCTTGTCATGAGTTCTACTGTCAATGCAGATGTAATGGTTTTCTGAGGGATCACTGAAAATGACGTCACAAGAGCGGAGTTTTGAATATTTTTCTTTGAAAGCTTTAGAATTTTTCTTCTCAAATCAATTTTTAAGACGGTTTAAAAAGTTTGAATTGAATATTTAAATTTTTATATATATAAAAGGCAACAAAATTTTAAAAATAATGGTGTAGTAAAAAGTAATCCATTATTTATGCAATAAATGGCGTTATTTATATGTAACTCGCGTTGTATAAGTCCAATTGGGTTCCACTATAGGGCGTTAGAAAGATGACGTTTCGTACTAAAAGAATCTCTCTGACAGTTTTGTGATTGGTTGATTCAGCTTTTTTACAGGGTGCGTCAGAGACGGGCAGAGAGAAATATGATATATTTTACCGAACGGCTGAAAATGTGAATAGTGTTTATGGTCCTGTTACTTTAACAGTCAATCATGCACAATTTCGGTTTCATTCCAGTAATTTCGATGTAAAAGATCCTTCATGGAGTGCAAGGTTAATTGTCGATAAAAACATGGACATTGACAGTACGACCATCATTTAAGCACTACTTCGATTGCCTAAGAGCTAAAGATTGCAATAAACCCCGTTTGGAACCATTTAAATAAGGCTGGATACGAAAAGATAAAAATTAAACTATTCAATTCTATACAAAAATAATGGATTTCTTTTTACTCCCCCAAATATATCAGCTTTTACCCAAATAAACTCCTTAAATGCTTGAACTGCTCGAAAATGTTCGAACAAAATCTTGAGCACTAATATACAAATGTATGTGTATATACAATACATACGTCTATATTGTAATTCATTGGCATCAACATCGTGACAAACACAATAACCAAACACAATTCAAGCCAATGCCAAGGAAGCTAGCCGCTTGAGATCTTCAATATAATCATTGTGGCATTACCATGCCATATTGGCCGCCTAACGGTGTTGCAAATCACATATACCGATTTCAAAATACAAGCTTTGGTAGCTACATACATACATATGTACATGCAAAGATGTACGCAAAGCCAAAATAGCTACTAGTGGATGTTGTAGCCTTTCATTTAGTCTGGCTTAAAGACGGGTCAGTCAGTCAGTTAGTTAGTCATATGTACATATATACACACATACACGTATATAATATATACCAGCGCATTGTGATCACCCGTATGTGGTATGTGAGCGGGTGTGTGCGTAGACAGCTGTCTAGCAATTCATTAAATTCAAGAAATGGTGAGCTTCCTAAGCAATATGCCAACATCAGCCAGCAACCAGCAGCCAGCAAGTAAGCAATGAATCGAGGAAGCCTTCGACACTACGTAGACATTTTCTTTCATCCAAGCAGTTGCTCATTTGGTCGTTTCAACGTTTGATCGGCCACTCATGGCG